CGGGAATCCACTTGGGTCTTGCTGTTGGCAAGAAGGCGTTCGTGATCTATGAGCCTGAAGCCTGCAAGGTTCACAAATCTCGTGATGTACATTTCTTCGAGGAGTCTCCTGAACCCGAACACGTTACGATTGAGTCCTCTGTCATAGAGCCGTCGTTGCATGTCGTTGATAAGGACAAAGAGGCAAGAGGAAATGGGAATGGTGATGGAAGAATGGGAGAAGGAGAGGAGATTGGAGATAAGATTGATGAGATAAATGATGGCGAGGAGGAAGAAGTCAGCGATGAAGGACAGGGTGATGAACTCTTAGGGGGAGATGTGGAGGACGAGGTCATCCCAGAAGCTCCCTGACGATCAATGTGTGAACGGCATACACGAATCCAAGACGATGATGACCGTTATTTTGTCACTTCCTACAATCGGGCCAATCAGCCTGTAGACACCCAGCCAGTGGGCATCGAACATGCTCATGTAGCACAAACCGAAGTGCCACTCACCTATAACGACGCCATGAACAGGCCTGACTCCGATGCGTGGCTTGAAGCCTGTCAAGATGAACTGCTATCCCTCAAAGAAACCCGGACGTACGTTCCAGTTAAAACTGATGAGGTTGAGGTTCGTAATATCGTCGGGTGTTGTTGGGTATTTGCGTTAAAGAAAAATGCTGATGGAGCAATTGAGTGCTATAAAGCTAGGATTGTGGCCAAAGGTTTTGGTCAAGTTTATCATGTTGACTACGATGAGACTTTCACACCTGTTGTCAAATGGGTCTCAATCCGGATTCTACTTGCTATCGCTGTGCCGCTCGATCTCGAAGTCCATCAGATGGATGTTAAAACCGCGATCTTGAATGGCAACCTGGAACACACTATCTATATGAAGCCACCAGCAGGCTGTGCCGATTATGGGAAGGACGACATGATTTGGAAGTTAGAGAAGAGTTTGTATGGGCTGAAGCAGGCTTCCAGAGCCTGGTACGAGAAGGTGAAAGAGGAGTTTGGGAAACTCGGGTTTCTCTGATGCAACTCTGATCATGCTGTGTTTGTTCAGCGTGGGAAGGGGAAGATCTTCTGTATCATCGTGCTCTACATCGATGATCCCATGATTCTGTCTAACAACCTCAAACTACTCAGTCACAAAAAGGCCCAACTCATGAAGGTATTCAATATGAAGGACCTTGGCGAGATCAACTGGTTTTTAGGACTCGAGATCACTCGCGATTGACCGCGGTGCTTAATCTGCATCTCCCAGTCACGCTATGTTAAAGACATCCTCTCTGATTTTAATTTCACTAATTCTCACCCTATTTCTACTCCAATTGCATCCAATTTTAAGCTACCCTGACTCGATGCTCAATATCCGCGATTATCAATCTCGTATCGGCAGTGTTATGTACGCCATGTTAGGTACACATCCTGACATTGCATATGCAGTGGGCGCTCTTAGTCAGTACTCTGCAAATCCTGGAAAGGATCACCTCGTTGCCGTTAACCGTGTCTTCTGGTACCTCAATCACTCGCAGAACTACAAGTTGGTTTACAACGGTAAAACATGTGACAATGACTTCACAGGGTACTCCGACTCCGATTGGGCTGGTGGGCCACGCGATCATCGATCTATTTCTGGATTTGTTTTCAAGATTGCAGGAGCCGCTGTCTCATGGAGCTCAAAGAAGCAGTCTTCAACAGCACTTTCGAGTACAGAGGGAGAATACATGGCATTGACACATGTGTCTAAAGAGGCCATATGGATACAACAATTTCTTGGTGATGTCCTCAGTCCACCTTCCATCCCACACACTATTCTCGGTGACAACCAAGGCACTCTTGCCTTAGCTGCCAATCCCACCTTCCACGCTCGTACTAAACACATACGCGTCAGGCAACACTTTATCCGCGAATGCATCAGCAATGGCGACATCGAGCTCGATTATGTTCCAACAGGCGACCAGGTGGCTGACGTTCTTACTAAGGGACTCGTGCTGGCCAAACATGACAAATTTACGAAGGACATGGGTGTTATCGATGTTAATCATTGTTGAGTGGGCATATTAGAACACCAACTTTGTTTACATCGGGAAGTTTTGTGGCGGTTATTTGTAGTGGTTATTCTGGGGCGCTTTGAGGCATTGGGGGCATTTTGCCCTCCTTATTCAACTTAAAACTCCCTTTGTACGACGACGTTGCCACTCAGGGAATGTCACGTATGTAAGAAGGGATTTCTTAGACTTTTCTCCCTCAGATCTCTTGTCAGAGTCTGAGGTGAGAACGATCTCTAATAATCTTTATAATTCATGTACATATAACTCTTGTCGCAGTCTAACGCGGCATAGGTATTTACAATTAGATCTCTTGTCAGAGTCTGAGTCTAACGCGGCATAGTCACTATTCTAATATTATCTGGATCACCTACTCGACAACTCCGACATATCCTCCCAAAAACCCATCACCATCTTTGTTGATAATCAATCAGCACTTGCCATTGCCGAAAATCCTATATTCCATGCACGAACAAAACACATTGATGTCAGACACCATTGGATCCGCGAAAAAATCGAAACTGGTATCTTGAACCTGGAATATGTCCCTACTGCCGATCAAGTGGCAGATATATTCACAAAGCCATTACCTGCATCAAAATTCAAGAAGCTCAGATCGAGTTTGGGATTGGGATGAGTCAACAAGCGTTGAGTGGGCATGTTGGAGTTACAACAACGTGTGACTCACTAACCAAACTCACATGATCTTACTTTTCGTGTCCATTGTATTGATACCGTGACTGCAATTGTATATAGGTAATTGTTTTAGTCTATTTTCCTTTTCCCCTCAGTTCTTCATTCATGGAGACTGAGGTTAGTATCTTTGGTTTTAGTTACTAGTTACATTACTTACTCTGTACTATAGCTTCTGCATTAGGTTAGTATTAACCGTAGGATATTCAGTTCTTCATTCACAGAGACTGAGCTTCCACATTAGCCCTCCTATTAGCGACTTCAAGGGTGTTCCACCAGTATTCATTGGGACCATCTTGCCTGACCTCAATCTCCCTTTGACAACATTTCTCAATTTCTGCCTTCCACAATTGCCACCTGAGAATGTCCAGATATGCCTCACATACAGCTCTAGTCCTCCAACTATCATTCCACTGGGCCTTGAAGCAATTAAATCTCTACCATGGCCTTCATTGAACTCTATTTGGCAATTCATCTCCATTAATCCACCATCCACTAGCCAGTCTATATCCATTGAAGGTGCCATGTATCTGCTTGACATGGTCTTGATCTTGAAATCTATACTATTAGTATGGGATCTTCAAGATGTTTGGCATATGGCCACCATGTGGCTGACTGATGGTTTGCACCAAGAGGCTTTACCACAAGACTTAAGGGATATATTCTACTCATTACTTGGTATGATGGTGTGGTCCAAATGTGTGTGAGGCTTTAGGGATGGACTGGGGGTTAGTTTGTTGGTCCGAATTGCATCACATGCATGTCTAAATGACACTGACCATGAGTGATACTGCTCAATCCTTTGTGTGGAACTTGATGCCATTTGTGCACCCATCCAAGTCGCATCACTGAACTTTTTCAATAGAGTATGTGAATTTTTCGGCAAAGAGAGCCTACCTCCCAGGGTGTATGGCTCTCGATCTTACTGTCTCATGCGAGAGTGGGCAGTGCAGTTAGTGGATGGGAAATTGAAAATGCTTGCTGGGATTGCATTTGTTAATCAAAATCACTGGATTGCCATTGTTATTGAAGGCAGATCAAGTGTTAGAACGGGCAGATTCGGACGACTCCGGAGTGGAATTGGAGACTCAGCGTGGAAGGACCTCGGCCTCAGTGACTCAGGCGGAGCGCTGTGCCATTGCTGGTTGTCCTGGGGGTCCCTAATTTTGGATCTAGCAGAGGGAAAGTCTCTAGGGGGCATTTCAGGTGAATTTCGGACTAAAGGCCTAAAACGAGTATGTACAAGCACCGATATATATAATGGAGAGGGTGAAAGCACAAGGAAACAAAGGGGGTCCGAATCGGAACGAAGGCGTCTGAACGGGAACAAAGGGATGACAGAAGTGGAGCGGTACCGAAGGTCATAGGGCAGAACCTATGGTACATCCGAAAGGAGGTAAGGAGGGCAAAGCCCAGAGGGGCAGGAGGATGAGGGGAAGTGGGGATGATGACTAACTGGCTAGAATGGGAAGAAGCAGCAGTCCAAATAGGGATGAGGGGAAAATGCGAAAGATACATTACAAGCGGCGAAAGTGCTGAAGACGATCCGTGGAGCTTGGAGGTTGTGGAGCTTATGGAGGTTACGGAGGTGGGGTTGAAAGTCCGAGGAATATTGGCAATGGTGTTTACATAGTATGAGGTCACCAATGCAATGGACTAAAGCTGAGGTGGGGTCAAAGTCCGAGGTAGGAACCATGATGGAGTCTCGGAGCAAAGGTACGAGCGGTGTCCGAGTACGGGGTATGGGACAGCGGCAAAAGGTCGTAACTTGGCAGAGGGTCAGCAGAAGAGGGTCAGAGGGAAGAGAGAGGAGAGAGGGAAGGGGTGAGGAGTGGAGGAGAGGAAAGGTGTTGGGTCCGAAGGTGAGTGTCGGAGCGGACGGGAGAAGGGTAGGAGAGTGATGGAAGGGTGGAGGTGTCATGAGGAGGAGTAGGAGGAGGAGTGAGAGGAGTGATGTTTGGTCCGAGATGAGTATCAGAGTGAATGGAGATAGGGTAGGAGAAGGGCAGGAGGGTGGAGGTGGCATGAGGGGTGAGGGGAGGTGTGGTGTCAGTCAGGACCGAAGGTGAATATCGGAATGGACAGCGGTAGGGTAGGACTCTGGAGGTGGTGAAGATGGAGGTCCAGGAGTCAGTTTGGGATCGAGTATGTACGGATATGACATCAAACTTGGGGACTCACTGTTTAATTCAATGACTGCACAACAAGTCCCCATTTACGCAATCTCACTAGTGAATGCACTTTCTCGATGGCTTACTCATCCTCCCTTCATGACTGGTCCTGTCAAAACTGTTCCACTCCCAACCATGTGTCAAGATGATATATCCTTGTGTGGCCTTTATGCACAAAATGCACTTGACAACTTCTTACAGCCTCGAATATCCAGAGTGAAAGACCTACTGAGTTCACAATTTCACCTCCATCTGTTTGCTTTTGTGCAGGTTCTGAATCATCACTTGGTCAATGTGAGCATTCCAGTTCATTTCTAATTTGAACATTGATGTATTGGTTACCCAGACCAGCACATCAGTCAATGATGTGATTGAACAAACATTATCACTATTAGTACCCAGTGCAATGCCATCTCCACCTGTATCTTCAGCATCGCTAGCATCCCCAGCACCCTACTCTCCTCCTGAGCCAACACCATTCCCATCACTGAAAGGACCAAGAGCCATGGCTCCCAATGATGCTATCCCAAAAATGGCGAAGTTAAAACTAGATCTCCATAAAAATACAACAAATGGTGAGGGCATACTTGGGTATTTCCCTCAAATCACCCCAGAGGAAAAAGCCCTCAAGACAAAGCAGCAATTTGAAGTGTTGCATGAATCAGGGGCATTGTGCACTGTCAAAACCTGAGGAATGAGTCTGAGTGCAGATGGGGCTCAACTAGAGGGGTTCTGAGAGCTCCAGTAGTGAACCAGAGCTTCTCCAGTCTGCTGGGTGATACAAGAGGCTCTAAGAAGGACATGGCCTCAGTGACTTGGAGGGAGCGCTGTGCCTCCATTACATCTCTAGTTAGTCCTTAATTTCAGATGTCTGAGGTATCTTGTAGGAGGGGGTCACAAATCACTCATAGGGGAACTTGGGGTAAGTTTTAGTCGAGATTAGAACTGAGGTACAATGGGTTCTAATCTATAGGTATATATAGAGGGAGGAGGAGAAGGACTTTAGTCAAAGTCTGAGTGATACCGAAAAGTACTGAAAGGTTCTGAACAATATCTTTAACAGGGAACTGAGGTGTTGGGTTGAGGAGGGTGGAGTAGAAGGCCAGAGGATAAATGGGAATGAGAAATGGGTAAGGGGAAGTTAGCCAACTGAATGGAAAGAAGACAACAGTCATACTATAAATGGAAGATGACTAATTTAAGATGATGAGAGCAGGGTCACTGGAGGATATGGGTAGCTCTGAAGCTGGAGTTGCATATCCGAAGAATGTTGGGTGACTCCACTAAATGAAATGGAAAGAGGAATGGTTTAGAAGTATATAACAAGATGTCAGAGGTCTGTTGGGAGGTCAGAGCAAATCCAGAGGTTCCGAATGTTCCAACTCAGGACCAAGGTTCCGGGATGGGGGTGGCTAAGGGTGAACGTGCTGAAGTCCAGGCTGGAGCTGAGACAGTATGGAATGGAGGGTGACATTGGGAAGTAGGCAGGTATGGTGTAGGGGATGATGAGGCTGTGAGAAGGTGTAGTGGGGTGGGAGAGTGCAGGGTCGGGATTCCGGGATATGACATGCACCGAGGCTGCAAAGTTGAGGGAAGTGAAGATTGCAACTAATCAAAGGGAATACAATCGGGTACAACAAGCTAATTTACATGCTTGTAAGAAGAGAAACCTGGATGATGCACCAAGAGATGAGGCTGATAAAAAGATCTGTTGTATTAGTTATCTCACTGTCCTTTTCCCACTAAAAGTTGCCATAAACAGTGTTGGATTGGCACTCTGGACAGTACAACAAGCTCAGAATCACAAAGTTCAGATCCACCTCTGAGTGTTGGATCACTGAGCCCTGCTCAAATGTCACGCTGTAAGTGTGGACTTAGGCTCAAGGAACATGAAAAGAATAGGGTGAAAGGCCCTCATCAAGGTGGATGGCAACAAATGAAAGAGATCAAAGAAGCAGTTCAGACCTATTGGTGGGCCCCCACATTTTTTCTGCTTCTGATGGAGGCAGCAAAGAAAGTTCATTGGGTGGGCCCAACCAAGATTGTGCAACAGGCACAATGTATATTGCCTTTGCTATTCAAGAGACTCACATCTCAAGTGATCAGAAGGCATATTGTGAAAGGAAGTGGGTGGAATGATGATGCCTTGAGGAAGGCTCCACAACGAGACTCTCCTGGAGGGAAAACAATGTGGCAAGGGGTTTTGGTATGTAATATTTATGCACCAATTATTGTGAGGTTTGTCATCCAGGTTCTTCCCCCAGGATGGTTATCCCGAAATAACCACTGAGATTACTCAGAAACTTAAGGCCTTGCATCAAATAGGCACTGCTGTGTCTCTTAGTGATGTGTGCTGTCTGATCATAGTGACGATTCAGTTTCATGAACTTTCTATATTTGAGAGGAGGTTCAAGGATGGAAGTGTTTTTCGCATAACTGAGGGGTGGGTCTTAAAGTTTCTTCACAATATTGTGGGATGGAGCTATCATAGGCCCACCTGGGCCTCACAGAAGGCACTGGGTGATGCCGAAGCACTGATCCATGTTTCACTGCTTCATTATGTAAGTGTGGTCAATCAACTCATACAACATACCTGCTGAGCTTCATGTCAATTCTGATCAAACTCAAGTGATCTACTCTGATCCAAAGACATCGGAATTGGTGCAAAGCAAGTTCCAGTTTTTGGAAAGGAAGAGAAGTGTGCAATCACAGTGACCATTGCGATCTCAGCAAGTGGAGCAATGCTGCCACTCCAGGCTGTTTTCCATGGCCACTCATCCAGGTCACTTCCCCCTCCATCGTCTCCTTGCTATGATGAAGCCCTGGAATTGGGGTTTCACTTCCTCATCTCCAATACCGACACATACTGGGCAACCATAGAGACGATGAAGCTATATGTCAAGGAGATCTTGGTCCCATACTTCATGGAACAAAAGAAGAAACTTTCACTCCCAGATGACTACCGCTGTATTTGGCAAATTGACGTGTGGGCTGTCCATACATCTTGGGAATTTCGAGAATGGCTCTATAGCCAATTCCATTGGATTATCTTCCTGGAGGTTGCACGGGCCTCTTTCAGCCTTGTGACCTTGTTATGCAATGGGCATTTAAGCTTGCCATTAATTGAGAGCACCGCACTGATACAATTAATGATATCCTTAGGCAGATGGAGGAGAAGGAAAATGTTATTGTGGTTCAGACAGGTCTTCCAGAACTGCAATGGTGGATGGTTCGCATCCTTGTCAAGGCATATCATGAAGTAAACAAACCCAACATTGTACTGAAGGTGAGCAGACCCTGAGATGGACTCACACATACTCATTCCTTCTATAAGGCCTTCAAGAAAGCACAATCAGGTGAATTCAGTCTAGCGCATCCAAGTCTCACAAGCCTGGCCATGCTTGACATCTTGAAGACCCTCCACATTGACAACCCATGTCTTTTTTCCGAGTTTTCAAAGCCATGCTCAGTTCCTGAGGCACCCCTGAATCGCACTCAACATGCAGATGGTGCACAACCAGATGAACCCCCATTTCCACCGACAACAATGAGCTGTCAGACATTTCCTTCAATGCCACACTCATGCATACTCTCACTGGGGAAGTTCCGGAAGGCCACCTGCTTCAACCAGCCACAAATACCCTTCAGCCTCAGCCTACACTTGTGAATGAACTAGACAATGACTTCCCTGAGGACGATGCTGATGATTTGGGTGAGGATGACAGTAAAAGTGGCAGCAAAGTTGGGGTTTCTGGTAGGAACTCCATGGAATCTGGTGAACTTGGACATGAGGGCAGTGTGGTGTCTTCTAGTTGGGGTCCAGGGTCGGCACATCAAGGGGGGAGGATGAGGAAACCTGTGGATTTGGCAGTGCGAAATAGATGGTGGGAGGGGTGGTAACGGTGCCTTTGCAAAATAATTTCTTGATTGTTATTTACAATGAAAAGTCCGTTCAGTTTGACTTCCTTCTTCAATAGTTCAAAGTTTGGTTGCAACATGTGACAAAACCATTTTTAGTTCAGTTCAAAACTCTTGTGTGACATGCAACTGAACTTATGGTTGTTTCCTTACAGTATATAGCAACCATGCAGGGAGATGAGACCTTTACCCTTCTTCTCATCTCATGCCCCGCATAGGCAAGTGTATATATTCTCTTTCTTTTACTATACATCTCATGCCCTGCATAGTGTGAGGACAGGCCAGATGGGGTTGAGGTCAGGGAGCCTCCGAGTCCGAGGCTGGGCCCTGACAGAAAAATGCAAAATACTTTTTTTTTTTGGTGGAACCCTCCATAGCTTGTGCTGGGTAGATTTTACTACTGGCTGGGTGATTATGGTAGTTACTCTTGCTTTGGTCTTGCCTTGTTTGGTGCTCTTTGCACTTGGTCCTTTCCTGTAACTCCACCATGGGTGTAAGGGATGGGTGGTAGAGTGATGATGCATGCTTTGCATGCTGTTATGGATATAGACTAGAATCTTATGGTCCGTGGGTGGACCCAGGGCCTCCCCCCATTTTACTTCTCCATCAAACCCCATGCCAAGCTTTCCCACTGGGTTTTGGTGCTGGCTGGGGGATTTGTTGAGTTTCAAGGGACTTCCCTTGACCATTATAACTTTTATATTAGAAGTCATATGATGTGTAAGGCAGATGCCGAAAATGTTTTCTCATTATCAAATACATAACCCACAAACCTTGTACCGCAATTGTAACATCCTCACCATTGTGCCACCACTGTAAACTCAACCTGTAGCCTCGGAACCATGTCCACCTCCCTATTCATCCTCTCCATGACAAAACTGCAACGAGGAGGGCATTCCCACACCCAACCTCCTGCTGCCCACTCCCACCAGTCCACCGGGTGGTTGAGCAGTCACTCCCATCCAACCAGAAGTTCCCATCAGGAACTGTAGCCTATCCCACCTCCTTAGGAGAGGGATATGGTCCAGGCAGCTCCAGGATGCCTGGCCACGCACCTGCGGGTCCCACTTCCCATGGTCACCCACTACCGTGCACTGGTCCACCAGCCTGCTTTCCCCAACAACTCCCACTACTGGTACGCTCCCGTGAGCACCAAGTCACCAATAGCCACCAACTGGGTGACTCCCTTTGGGAGTCCCAGTATCCCATGCTACTGATACACTCCATTGAGCGCCAAGTCACCGCTAGCCAACCACTCCCAGCACACCCGCTACCGGCATGCTCCCAGGAGCGCCAAGTCCCCATTAGCAGACAGCCAGGTGGCTCCCTCAAGGAGCCCACGTCATACTCGCTACCGGTATGCTCCCAGGAGTGCCAAGTTACCGTTGGCCAACCCACAGGTTGTACTTCCAGACACTCATCCCATTCCACTCTCCCTCCAATGGCTATGCAGCCACCTCCATTAGTGAGCTGAACGGTTCAGGTTGGGTTCCCCAGAACCCATTCCTGTAACACATGCTTTCTTTATTCATCTTTATTCTTTGTATACAATAGTGTCAGGGCATACACCCTGACCTAGCCCACACCCACATCCACACCTGCACTCACACCTGCACCCATGCCCACACCCAGCTGTTGCACTTCCTGTGCACACCCTGTCCAGGCCTCGGGTCTCATGTGACTTCCAGATATCTCCAGAAGTTTTCAATCTATTGTGGCCAGTGTGGGAAGATGAGAAGTTAACTTCCTTCTCATCTCTGACCCACAGTAGATTGTGCCCTGGATAGGGCTGGCTAGACTTGAGGCTGTGGGCCATAGGGGAGGGTCATGGGGACCCGGGAGTCATCCCCTGACAAATAGGGGGTTTCACAGTTGGCTAGATTGGGCTAAACTCAGGGACTAAACTGGGCCTAATCCAGAGGATGTTGGGAGTGAGTTTGGGGTGGGTTTGTGTCAGGACACACACCCTGACTAGCCTGGACCCGGACCTGCATGTGTGCTCCACCCCACATGCTCCACGTGCCGCATGCTCTGGGCCCGGTTCCCATTTCTCATGTGACTTCCGGGTACCCCCGGAAGTTTTCGCCATATTGGGCCACTGTGGGAAAGTGAGAAGTTAACCTCCTTCTCACTTTCTGTAAGGCCAGTTGGGGTGCTGGCCTTGGTGACTCCTCAATCCTCAGGCTGTCGAGAACATAGACTGTATGGAGCTAGTATTCAACAGGGGGGGAGGAGAAGAGCCAAGCTCCTTTTCCCGACCCTGGACACTATATATGTATATACAGTTGTTATACATTGTTTAGTCTGAAGATTATTATAGTATAAAGAATAAAAGGAAAGTGCGCAAAGCGCGCATCATCCATCCTCTATCCATTCCTGCTGACCTCTTCACATATGTGAGCATCAGCTTCATTAAAAGCTGAGTGAATGTGGGGATAGTCCCACTCTCGAATCCTAGCTTCATTTCATGAAGCATGATCTGTTTAGGATTGCCATCTAGGGCACGAGCAAGAGCATCTATTATTGGAAGTTACAGCCCAACACCACTGGCGGTCCCTGGACCGTACATTCACGGTTTGAGAGCTTTGGGAAGGAGGCGCTTTTGGGGCAATCGACGGTGAACATAATGTCGCTTTGGCCCTTTGTTTTTATGCTTTGACTACTGCTCGCGTTTCACTTCAGTGGCATAGAACTGACATTAGATGTATATAAGGATAGGACTTGCACTGAGAGCCGATCACAATAGACGTATCGTGCTGCTCAGGCAAGTCCATCCATCACTACATACACACATCACAATAGATGTATCGCACTGCTCAGATTAACAGGTTATCAGCCCAGCTCTACTCCACCGCTTCGAAAAGTCAACCAAAGATGCCTGGCACTGTTGAACTACTTGTTCTGATTCACCGTACCTTACTTGTTCTGGACTAGCCCCGAAGAACACACCATGACCCTGAAAGACTCAACCATCGATAAGGCTGTCTTTGCTATCGCTAAGTTGAAAGGTCGTGATGACTGGAATAGATGGTCCACCAATCTCCACTTCGCCATGGGTTGTACCTGGGGATATCTAGATGGAAGCCTAGTTGAACCATCTGATAAGACAACGACCGAACATGCACAATGGGTCGAAGGGGAAAGCAATACTCGCTGAAGGCTGTGGCTCTCCCTCAGTGACTCGGTCCAGGACAATGTCTTCCATCATGCCCAGAGCACCGCTGCAACCTTGTTCCAAGCCTTGAAGGGCATTTACCAACACACTGGAGCTTCTGCCAAATACTATGCAAGAACGAAGTACTATGAGGCCAAGATCAGCGATTATGAATCTATTTCGGATTTCTTATCCGGCCTCATGAACCTCGCCCATGAAGTAAACAAACACATACCCAGTGACTGAGGAGGCATTGAAGACTGTATGATCGCCATGCAACTCATCCACTGCCTCCCATCCTGCATGAGCACCTTGCAGACCATGCTTGTCCAGAATGCCCCAGCAGCGACCAGCGACATGGATTGGGATCTTGACAAGCTGAGGAGGGAAATAGAGACTGAAGAACTCCGTGCCTGAGTAAACGGAATGGACCTTAGAACAAAAGCCGGACCCACACATACTCCGAAGGCACTTGCTGCAGAAGAAAACACGAAGGGAAGAAGGAATGATCCTACTTGGGTAACGTGCCAAATGTGTTGGAAGTGTGGAAAGATGGGCCATCTCCGAACAAAATGCACAGCGACAGAAGCTGAAAAAGAAGCGTATCAGCAGAAGAAAGCTGCTGAGAAGGAGAATGCAAATGCAACTGAGGAGGTGAAGGCTTTGTGTGCAGAAAGCGTTGCAAATGCTGCGTCAATCACCGATGCACCAAAGCCCTGGATCGTGGACTCAGGGTGCAGTAACCATTTCTGTCCAAACAAGGACGACTTCATAGAATACACACCCTTTGACCCCCCATGCCAAATCGCTCTTGGAAATGACAGTCGCGTCCCCTCCTTGGGTGAAGGAACCGTTTTGATTGGCTGCGTCACTAGAGGGAAGCGTGTCACCTGTCAGATCCAGAATGTACAGTATGTACCCAGCCTCAAGTATGGTCTCCTGTCTTGCAGGATCCTGATTTGCCGAGGAGTCCGGATTACATTTGGTTCCGATGATGTCTGCAGAATCGAGGGAGCAGATGGGAAACTAGTTGCTGAGTCACTAAAGGAGTTCGCACCCATGTTCTACCTGAATCACCTGTCCTCGCAGCCGACATCTACCATGACTGGGAGGGCGAACCCGGCTGTGGAAGCCTCCATCCTCTCCTTCGACCTTCTCCACAAATGTCTAGCCCACCCTGGTAAGGATGTGTTGAATGAGATGATAAAGAATGGATCAGTTCTGGGAATGGAGAATGTTCGGGATGACTCGAAGGGTTTTGATTGCGAAGCATGCATTAGGGGGAAGATGACGAGAGGTCCTTTCGGGAGGGGACATGAGATAGCTGACAAGAGGCTGGGGCGAGTACACTCCAATGTCTGCAGGCCTATGGAGGTGATGTCACTTGAAAAAGCCGATACTTCTGCATGCTTGTGGATGACAAGACGAGCTTCACTTGGTTCTATTCATGCTCACTTAAATCAGATTTCATGGCGTGGTTCATCAAGATGGACACATACTTTGCGAATCAGTACGGGACCCACGTCAAGATCTTGAGGACGGATAGGGGGGGGGAATACCTGAACTCCATCCTGGGGACATATTGTAAGGACAAAGGTATTGACATGGAGCAGACGGTTCCGCACATGCCTGAGCAGAACGGAGTGGCTGAGCGAGCTAATCGGAAGATCTTGGGCAAAGGATGTACCTTACTGAAGGATGCTGGGGCTCCGGACATTCTATGGGCCGATGCTTTTGCCACAGCTGTCTACGCCATGAACCGGACCATTGACACTCACTCAAATGCGACAATGCCTTTTGAACGATTTCACGGAAGGAAGCCGAATGT